GCGGGGGGCCCCCCCCCCCCCCCTCCCACCTTTCTGGGCCTGGCTGGGGGGTTTTGGAAGGGCTCCTCCCAAACCCCCAGGCCTTCTAAGGGTGGGGGGGGAAGGGCCCCCCTAGACCCGCATTTTAAGGGTTAGGGGGGAGCCCCGTCCCCAACCACCCACATCCTCGCCAAATGCGAAGTGTATCCGCTTTCCAGATGCCGTTTGGAGGCCAGGGCAGCCCGTCCCGCCCCGGAATTCCGCCCCCCCCGGGACTGCCGAGCCCCGCCCGCCCTCCGCCACTCCCCGGGGAGCGCGGCCCCCTCCCCGCCGAGGGTCTGGCCCCCGCTCTGACCCCGGAGGACAGCGACAAGCCCCGCCCCTTCCCCCGGGGGGTGCGGCCAGCGGATTGCACCAGGGGCGGGGGCAGGGCCGGGGAGGGAAGGCCTACCCCTTACCTGAGGCCTTGGGACCTCTGTCGGGACCGAGAGGACAGGCCGGGCCTGGGACCTCGGTGTCTGGGAACTTTGGAAGTTGGATCTGAGCGATGATCAACAGGGACAAGTGTGTCTCCTCAGTTGGGTGAGGAGCTTTTGTGACAAGTTGGGACCAAGTCACAAGCAGGAATCTCATTGCCGACTGCTTTTCCCCGTGTACACCTCAGCCAGAGTGGTGTGACATGGGTCTGCTTACTGAGCACCTACTATGTGTCAGGCTGGGCACCACAGGTGCAGCATCTCCTCCAACCTGCGGGGACCCTGAGCTAGGAATGGGTATCTAAGCTAATCGGTATAGATGTGGTCAGCGAGGCCCCAAGGAGGGGTGCTGCCTTTCCAAGCTTCCACTGCTAGTGAGGAGCGAAGCTGGGGTTAGAACCCGGTTTTGCCCTGGCTCGGTTGGTTAGAGCGTCATCCAGATACGCCAAGGTTGCAGGGCACATACAAGAATCAGCCAACCAATGGATAAGTCAGTGGAACAACAAATCGACGTTTCTCTTTCTGTCTGTCTGCCCCCTCCCCCATCTCTCTCTCTCTCTCTCTCTCTCTCTCAAAATCAATAAAACTTTTTAAAAAGCAAACCGGGTTCAGACTCCAGAACTGGTGCTCTCAAAACATCAGGTTGGCCCAGCTGGTTTGGCTCAGTGGTTGAGCGTCAACCCTATGAACCAGGAGGTCACAGTTGGATTCCCGATCAGGGCATATGCCCAGGTTGTGGGCTCAATCCCCAGTGTGGGGCATGCAGGAGACAGCCGATCAATGATTCTCATTATTGATGTTTCTATCTCTCTCCCTCTCCCTTCCTCTCTGAAATCAATAAAAATACTTTTTTTTTAAAAAACACACAAACATCAGGTTGTACTTGGGGATGGTGAAACACTTCTGGGCTTCTTTCCTCTAGAAGGAAACTCAGAGTCAAGGTCAGGGCTTCTCAAGAGGCTCACTCCAGAATGGCCTGTGGGACCAGCCTTTAAGGCGGGCACTACCGTTAGCCCCATTTTACGGGTGAGAGGCCTGCGGCCAGCGGAGAGGAAGCTCCTTGCCCAGCACATTAGCACAGCAGTGTGGGCAGAGCGAAGGCTCCTGGAATCTAGGTGAGGATATTCTATCCATCTCCTCTCACCTGGCCAGGAAGACGAAGCGCATCTGTGCTCGCATCTCACCTGCAAATGTGTGATGAGACTCCGCTGGGAGCCTCCCTCGCCCTTCACACACCGAGTCTGACTTGCAGTGGGGCCAGGCGTGGTCTTTCTAATAGTTTCTTTGACTTATTTACTTTTAAGCTTAATTTTTTTTTTAAGTAATATTATCTACCTGGCTCAAAAGCCAGAAGCCTGCTGCAGCTACCCGATCTTCCTCCCTGAAAGGTGGCCACCTTGAGCAGTTAGCTGTGTCTCTTTAAAGATTCTGTGCAGCCCTGGCCGGTGAGGCTCAGTT